TCGTGACAGAATTACAAAAGTCGATAAGTTCGTGATGTAAGGTACAATTTTGCCTTTTTTACTATATTATTAAAACTATTTACTAATTGTTTCTAATGAAAAATGTTTCATGAAATATAAAATTAAAATAATAATAATAATAATATCATTCATAAAACCCAATTAAGTGTAATCATGTATTTATAAAACCTAATTAAAAAAACCTCATTTATTTTCCCTCCAAAAGAAGTTACAAAATTTGTCATTCATATTTTGCCTTTCACATTAATACACCCTATTAAGTGTAATCATGTATTTTTTTGCTATTATATTATATAATATTTAATGCTATTACCAACTCATAATATTTCACACTAAATATAAATTACATAAGTATAAACAATTTTATTGTTTCAAAATATTATTATTATTATTATTGTTATTATTAATATTATAATAATTATTATTATTATTATTATTATTATTATAATAGTAGTTAATGCTATTTTTTTTTTGCTATTATATTATATAATAGTTATGCTATTAATTATTTTACATGATTACACTTAATAGGGGTGTATTAATGTGAAAAACAAAATATAAATGACAAATTTTGTAATTTTTGTAGCATTTCTTGGAAAATGTAAGTCCAATTAATTGCCAACAAATCTCATCCTAAGAGCATCTCCAATGGATGATAGTCTATTTTGGGTTGTATATGGAGAATGGAAGCTAAAAAATTATGTCTCCAATGATAAATGTTAATTGTGATTTCATTTGTGATGTGTTGAATTTTAATTGGTTGAAGAAGATAAATAAATTAAATAAATATTTTAATACACAAAAGAAGTTGTCTAGAAAGACTTCTACATCTAGAAAGTCTTCTAGAATTTTTTCAAGCCACATAAGATTAATTGTGACATGTGGCAACAAAATAGAAAAAAGGAAAGACCATTGGAGATGCTCTAATACTAACAGCACTAATTAAGAGAGACTAACGGCTTTTAAACAATGATGCTTTCATGTGCCCGACGCGGTTTTTAGTAGATTTTTTTCTAATTATTCGGGCCCACCGCCGCACATAATCATCATTACCAAGTTCCCACCTTTCCACCGCACGATCCTCTCACAATCCACCTCAGCCGTCCGATCAACCCGTCCAAATACGACCAACAAATAAAAGATGATTTGAATTTTTAAACACGGCATGTTTGGCGGACCCACACCCACTGCAACTTCGACACTCGTCCGCACTTATCCATAGTTTACCGGTGGATGACCGGGTATCGCCGGTCACTCGACTTAACTTATTGTCCACGTACAAAGGTGTATGCACTGTGTACAAGTTTGTGAGGCGTT